TTAGCTTGTAAATGTGACAACACCAGGGAGACTTCCAAGTCTTCCGAGAGCACATCTGGCAGACAGCGTCTGCATCTAGGCCACGCTTCAGCAACCCCCTTAAGCATATGTTTAACTTTAATAACATGCTGAAGTCTCACTGACGTCAATGGGATTCAAGCGTGCGCTTACATGCTTGCTTGAATCAGAGCCTCTGCAGGTAACTAGCTCCTGGCTCCCTTGGAAGGGACCAGCAGGGGACAGGGTGTAGGAAGGGGTAGGGCAATACCAGCTGAGAGCGAGCCAAAAGGACAAGCTCATCCCTGCTGGCACAGAAAGCTGAATGTCACCATTTTGCAATGCAAGTACCAGCCCTGTCCAAAAGGTCTGTCCTTCTGGCTTTGGCAGACTAAAACATGCAGTTACCCAGACTGACTGCATCCCACGAGGGAAAGCACATCTCTGAATACTTACACAGCGTGCTCAGAGTCCCACTCACCTGGTCATGTCAGAGAAGTCAGCAGCATTCCCACAGAGAGGGAAGCGTGTTATTGAAAGATACAAACTGCCACATCATTTGGCATCAAGAACACTCAATTATAGCAGAGTTCAGCAAAGATATTTTGCCACGAGGCACAACACTTCTGTCTTGCAAATTTTACATACTATACAGTAAAAAAAAAAAATAAAATCAAACATCTTCTTTAATCAGGGATTTAACCTGACCAGCAGAGTGAAACAACCTAAAAAGGAGTGGGATAAATGACAAACAGCATCAAGCAACAGGTCTTCCTCCCATCTTCGCAGGTAAGATCAACAGATACACACCAGGAAGCTACAGGAATGGCTCATACTAACAGCAGACACCACAAGAAGTAGTGGCTATGAAATGCATCCTTTAAATTTGAGAAAAAGAAAGGGTGCTGTTCGCTACACGGTCAGACTGGGTAGCTCATTGTCACAAGAGGATTAAAAATTAGACTAGCTTACTGAAGAAAAAACAAAGGCCAAAATACACAGAGAGGCAGGCAGAACCTTTAGCATGGGAAAGCTGTAAGCTTCTGAAACATCACTGTGTGCTTGCTTCTTGTTAGTCACTGTCAGGCAGAATTATCAAGGGAAGCAACTTTTTGTCTGACCCAATACGTTATTCTCAGTCATCAGAAATATGAAAGAAAACTAGAAAAGTCGTCAGATGATGATGGTACCTGGAAGAAGCAAATCCAAAAGGGTGGCTATGAAGCAAGACGTGCAAGAGTAGAGAAAGCCTGGACTGTTTTAATAAAACACAGACACTAAGCTGTGCGTAAGGTATGTCACAAATGTGATTTTTACCTCCCAGTAAAAGCTTAGAGCAAACCACAGCTTGAACTGGATAGTTCGGTATCATTCAACACAGGGCAGGTAGCCCAGGAATGCAGATCTAAAAGATAGCACTTTGCCCTAAAGAAGCAGGTTTTTCTCCTTTCCAAATGCTTACCTTACACCCTACACACTAGAGACTAGATTCAGCCTGACTTCTGCTGGCATAACATAAGCTGTGTTTGCTGGTGGGTTCCTTTGGAAAACATCTGTGGTGCATTAAGACCTTTCCAGTGAGTCTCCCAAGAGAGAGAAATGGTTGTACTTCCACACAGTTTGCTTTAGGGAGGGAACGATATTCACGTGCATGAAGCCAG